ATTTCATCTGATAAAGTCGTACATTAGTAAGTCTCAGAATATTTACTTTTAATATTCATTCTCGTCCATTTCATCAATTCAACCTTAGTTGAGTTCAATGGCTGTTCATCTGTAAAACTAGAAATCGCATCAGTAGTTATTTTTTAAAAAAAGTTTCCTACTTCTAAAGAATCACAACTTGCATTTATGTGGTGGAGCCCTTCACTTCGGATAGCGTATTGTGGTGCCGAAAAAAAGCGTAGATGGTTCATATACTTTGTTAAGCTGATGGCTTTGTCTTTTCTCTTCAGGTGGAGCTCGACTGGATGATCTGAAAGCTCTTGCAAACAACACAGTCAATATGGATTTTGCAACCTTCCGGGCACTGAATCCTGAAGAAGTGAAGGTTTGTACATGGACAATAAGTTTGCATCACTCTGGCTGGGGTTGCAATTTCTTTAGCTGCATCTCTTTGGTCTTTTGTTGCTTCCCTTTGGCGACTATATGAATGACAGACATTGGTTAAATGTTTCTATTTTAGAATCTGACAGCTGAGGACCTGAAAGGCTTGCTTGGAGCTCACCTTCCAGCGCTGAAAACTGGATTCAATGACACTGTTGTGAAAGTTTGGGTGAATTCGCACTTTGAATCTGAAGTCAGGAAAGTTGGGCTTACGGGAGGAATTCCAGATCCTCCTCTAGGTATGTTCCTTGTCAACGGTAAATAAATACGCATATCAATAGCTGCTGTTGAACACTGCTCGGAGGAGAATATCCCCTGTGATAATGTTTGCGCTATTTCAGTGATATTTGTTTTGGGTTCTGTTGTCGGTGTTTCCAACAGTCCTTCAATTCAGATGATTTTCTAACAAATTGATGCCTTGGTACATTACAATATTTTTGACCACAAATATATTACCTTATTAAGAATCGGATAAACGTAGTGCTCTATAGTTTGATGTATTTGAATAATTTTCTGTCATTTTACTTTTCCAACAGAAACTGTTTTATGTGAAGCCAGAAATAGGTAAGTGTATTCTGTTTTCTGCAGTGCTGCTGTTCTTCCCCTCAGTCCAAAGTCAAAAAGACTTGGAGATGTCTCCTACCAGCTCTGGTGAATATGGCTCGATAAGGTTTCAGCAAGAAATACACATGGATTTTGCAGAATCCTGCCTCTGTTTTCAGTACGAAAATCTGCCTGTTTAATCTGTATGATCTTCTTCCTTACAGTTCAGAGGTGAACGATTTCCTGACGACTCTTAACAGGACCCAACTGTGCAGCATCGCCATTGTAGACTATGCATGTGCTCGGGTAAGCTGTGTTCCGCTCCAGAATTTCACCCAACAGTGTCCTCCTCCAGGGGTCCATGTGCAGAAAGCAAGCTTGCCGAAACAAATGTAGTCATTGTCGTCTCATCTCTATCTGCCGAAATAACACCTCAGATTGATTGTTTTCGGGCAACTTCAAAGTATTGATTATTTGTAAACCGATTCCTTGCAGATTGACCTGCTGGCAAATCTCACCAGTTATGACGTGACTGTACTGTTTGATTGCTTCACTGGCTCAAAGGCTTTGAAGATCTCAGATGAAAAAGCACTGCTTGTGTTTATCCAAAAGCTTGACAGAACCACACTAAACCAGGCATTGGACATGTTTAATAACAAGGTAAGCAATTATTGCTTCCATTCTGTATGGAAACTGGAAACTGTTAAACTCCTTACTCATTGAGTTTGAACTTATTGGTTTGTTTCAGACCTCAAACATATCGTCAATTCCTCTGGAAACAAAGACAACGTTCTTTAATGCCTTGTGGGAGAATGTGAAGCCCAACATCACCGGCCCTGCTTTCCTGAGCAAATGGTTTCAGCAAAGATTCAGACCAATCATTGCAGGCATTCCTCAATCAGTCCTGAGTGACCTTCTGGTGAGGAATGTCACATGTGATGGTTACCAAGCAGTGTAAGTGTATCGCTCTTTCTTACAATCCGATGGTATTGGCAATTGAGGAAGAGTCCTGGGTATAAACAGTGAGGAATATAAGAAAACACGGAACAATAAAAAGCAAGTCAGCATAAGAGATGTTAAAAGTAAGTGTCATGTGATGACTTGTGCTATCAATTTTTCTTCACCTAGTGTAAAAGGACTCAGTAATGGATTTGGAGAGATGACAGCGACAACGAGACAGAGCATACTGCAAGTCTGGATCCTTAGTTACCTGAACGGCACAGGTAACCTGGATAGAATCAGTATATTTAAATGAATCATTTCTTTTGCATGCCACTGATAAAAAGTTTGTAACCACACAATAGATGTATCTGACTTTCTTCACCATTTATCTCCAGGTGCTGGATGTATCAGCAACACCAATGGATCTCGAGACTGGCTGGTGAAGAATTGGGGACAGTTCAGCAAACTTGCTCAAATAAGGGATCTATCGAACTTGAATTCAAATTTCAGTGCAGTAAGTTACTGAAGCTCTTTTGGCTTTTGAGTTAATAATCAGCAGACGATGCTTTGTGTTTTGGTGACTTGGTTTTCCACATTCCCGTCAGTACCAGGAATTGGATCAAAATGATTACTTGAATAAAGTATTGCTGTCGTCAATGATATCAAACTTCGATTTCAAAGAATCTCTTACTCAGCACCAAGTACTGTATTCATTTCACCGAGTAATCTCTGTATCTCTGTAATCCAATGAGGTTATGCTGAAAAATAGATTTCACACCGCATTACCTTTTCTGTAGGTGGCAGCAGCAGGCTTGCTGACTGTATCACAACTTGGAGAAGCTGTGGGGAGAAATGGTACATTGGAAAATGCTTCAGATGTACGCAAGGTTTTCACAACCATCACAAATGGCACCGTGACTGAATTCATCGACGTATTTGCAGCTGCTGCCCACATGGTAAGAGAAGATGTTTTCCTTGTATCCGTCACACACACCGAGTTTAGTATCTGAGCCCTGAGAGACAATGACTCTGCCCAGTTTTTACAGTTGGTGATTTGTTACCTGTGTTCTTGCATTAACGCAGCTGATTCCTAACCTTTTACAGAACAATGTGGGGCTGAAATGACAGAAAATTATTCAAATACATCAAACTATAGAGCACTACGTTTATCCGATTCTTAATAAGGTAATATATTTGTGGTCAAAAATATTGTAATGTACCAAGGCATCAATTTGTTAGAAAATCATCTGAATTGAAGGACTGTTGGAAACACCGACAACAGAACCCAAAACAAATATCACTGAAATAGCGCAAACATTATCACAGGGGATATTCTCCTCCGAGCAGTGTTCAACAGCAGCTATTGATATGCGTATTTATTTACCGTTGACAAGGAACATACCTAGAGGAGGATCTGGAATTCCTCCCGTAAGCCCAACTTTCCTGACTTCAGATTCAAAGTGCGAATTCACCCAAACTTTCACAACAGTGTCATTGAATCCAGTTTTCAGCGCTGGAAGGTGAGCTCCAAGCAAGCCTTTCAGGTCCTCAGCTGTCAGATTCTAAAATAGAAACATTTAACCAATGTCTGTCATTCATATAGTCGCCAAAGGGAAGCAACAAAAGACCAAAGAGATGCAGCTAAAGAAATTGCAACCCCAGCCAGAGTGATGCAAACTTATTGTCCATGTACAAACCTTCACTTCTTCAGGATTCAGTGCCCGGAAGGTTGCAAAATCCATATTGACTGTGTTGTTTGCAAGAGCTTTCAGATCATCCAGTCGAGCTCCACCTGAAGAGAAAAGACAAAGCCATCAGCTTAACAAAGTATATGAACCATCTACGCTTTTTTTCGGCACCACAATACGCTATCCGAAGTGAAGGGCTCCACCACATAAATGCAAGTTGTGATTCTTTAGAAGTAGGAAACTTTTTTTAAAAAATAACTACTGATGCGATTTCTAGTTTTACAGATGAACAGCCATTGAACTCAACTAAGGTTGAATTGATGAAATGGACGAGAATGAATATTAAAAGTAAATATTCTGAGACTTACTAATGTACGACTTTATCAGATGAAATTGGGTGATCGCACTGCTATGCTGAAGCTTCAAAACAACAACGGCTTTCTTGTAAAGCAGGTTCTTCTTTGACTGACTGCATGAAGAAATATCCAGAGCTCCTGCCTCTCTGTGGGAGAAAAGGGAAAACCTTGCCTTTAGCTGCACATCCCACCCCTATACACCAAATCCCATCACCAATAACAGGATAAACGTCTATCTTGTCTCCAGGTCCTGATTGCTTTCCAATGTGGATCAGAAAGAGTTCAACACTTACTCCAGGGAGGAAATTGTCATCAGTTGGCTTTCATTCAGAATGCACAGGTTTGGACCACCGACAGCTTTCAATGTAACTCCATTCAGTTGTCCATCTAACTCCAGGAATCTTGTAATGATGGTTTGAACCTGTAAGAGGTGAACACAGATCAGTTATCACTGCACAGAGAAACACCACATAAATATCAAACCTTTGCCCCATTTCAACTTTTTTTTTCTCTAATTCCCAATTGGGTTTCTTCTCTTCCCCGACTCCCACCCCCATGAATCAGTGCTGCACCATCCCTGGGACAATCGTCTGATACGTGGCTCGATGAATTACTTTGATCAGAGCATCAAAGTGCTGTCTTCATCCAAACTAACCTCATCATTTCTTAGTTTCCGTACCTGGGAGTGCTTCAGCGGATTCAGCAGCACTTGTCCAAGTGTGTCAACTTGAGTTATATTCCAGCTGCTCATTTCGGTCGCATTGAACACAGTTGATATGTTGCCCAACAGTAGAATCGTGTCTTCTGGGAGTCCATTGGGGTAAAGCTGCATCAGAGAGATCCAAACCATGAGATTCAATCGCAACATGTGATCTTATTGTCCAGCGCACAAGTGGGCACTTATTGTCAGAGTGGCCAGGGTGGAATTGTGATTCAAAGCAGTTAATCATAGGATTACTCAGTTATTATAACTCAAATTGACATCAGCATCTGTAACGATGCTTGCAGAATTGCAAAACCATTGTTATGGATCTGTATTGCTGAAATAGTAATACACTCGATGTTGCATCATTTGCTAAATATTTAACACGGCATAAAGTGCCATTTTCAAGAAAACATCCAACTCACTTTGGTCTCAATTATTTACTATCAAAAGCGCTGTAGTTTGCCTGATGAAAGTTTCAAGCAGGATTTTTACCTGAACAAGTTTGTATTTCAGGACGTGCAGCTGAGTAGAATCAAAGGATAGAGTTCCCAATACAAATATGTTATTCTTCAGTACGAGATGACTCAAACACTTGTCTAACTGGACTGCATCGTACTTGATCGGGGTTAGCTCATCAATGTCTTCCGCTGCCAGCTCTGTGCAGGCTGTAAACACCACATTTGATTATACACACCTGCCATCTGTACACTGAAACTGCACTCAAACTATGAACTAAAATGAGGAAACTACATCATACATACAATGCTGTTTCTTTAACCATTGCTGTAAGAAAACTACATACTTTCTGTGAAGTTTGCTTGCAGCTTCAACTGATCTATGAATCCCAGGACAACGTTTGGTGGGTTGGAAGTTTTCAATCTCTTGAGAAATCTTGGGAGGGCATACTGCAAGGCAACCTACACGGCAGAAAATGTTGATACTTGTAGAGATTAACCCAATAAAACTTCAGGCACAGACAATTCCAGTTTACAGAGTAACACTGTTTAGCAGAACATATACCGATTCGTAAAAGAACATGCAAAAGACTTTGGGAACAAAAGTTATTTGTACCCTTCAGTTCATCTGAAAGAATTCTTTATCAGTTAACACATACCAAGTTTACATGTTTCCATGTGAAGGTGAAAGTCAAAGGTAGGTTTCCAAGTTCATCCAACGTCAATGATGTCCATGATGAAGGCAGACTATATTCAAACAAAAAAAAACAAGTTCATCAATTAGTATTTTATGGCAGTTTCTCACCAGAATTCACATATCTCCGATCAGAGGTTTCTAATCTAGAAATCATCTCCTGGAGAAACCTACAAGAAAATAATCCCTGTGATTTTAATAGTATTCCGGGCCATACAGTCTAACTAAGGTCCAGGCTCTAAAATGACTCAATAAAATAAGATGATTTTAAAACAGCAAATACAATCGAGTCCCACTTACGATGTGTGAGATTCAATGCAAATGACGAGTGCAGCAGGCAGTGGATTTAGAGGAACCATTCCAAGTTCGAAATAAAAAGGGCCCTTTACAAAAACAAGTCAAATTCAACCGTGCTGATATTTGTTCTCCAAGAAATAAAAAGCAAATCAGCTCCAACATACCCGTATCTGGTTGGACTGTTATTGAGTAGAGCTTCAATCGCTGACTTTTGGCTTTTAGTGTACGATACGCAATTCTTTAATTGCTCCAAAATGGAAATATGAGAAGTACTGATAGTGGCCCCATCGAGATCACAGTTTGGATTTGTCTTGAAGTCGACAGACCTGCAACAAGTGAATCTGTTATTTCAATGTTGTGAGGCTTTGGGGTAAAATGTGCTGCCTTTTCTTAAATAAAACAAAGTATTCCTTCTGTCAGTATTCAATGTTTTCCAGGCACCAGCTAAACAGAATGGTTTTCCCCTCCTCATCCATTTGTGCTTTTATGTACAAAAGGGAAATAACTTACTTGAAATACAGCAGAACATCCTCGGGGATCATGTCTACGTCAACTTCCATTTCATACGATTTCAGTTTGAAGAGTATGCAACTGAGCTGTAACGTGAGAGAAGAAATGAATTGTTAGAAACAACCTGGACTCGTAAAATAATGCCAGCAGATTCTGGAGGACTTCAGTGGTGAGGTTTGCACAACTGAGTAATAATTCCCAAAGGACCCACTATTACAATTACTCATGGCTGAAACCCAGCTTGATATTTCAATAATAAACAAAGGAAAGTGAACCCAAATGCAATGAAACATTTCTGTAGTTCAATTTCAGCAAAAGGTCTTACCTGACTTTTATCCAGTTTGACCCGCTTCTCCTTCAATACTCGAACAAGCTGAATGAAGTCACGAGAATTCAGGGTCTTGACCGCCCCACAGCTGAAGCCTCGCAGCACAGAATGTGAAAAGCTGAAGCACAAATCATTGTGAGTTCATTTCCTTCACTTTATTCAACGAAGAAAAGATCTGTACCAGAATCAGCGCAGAAATGAAGCCACGTCATCTGAAAAAGCTTTACTCATCACCTCTTCGGGAGCCAAGTTAAGATATTGAGCAACAACAACAACAACTTGCATTGATAGCGCACTCCTTATGCTGGGTAGCTTCCCAGATCGCTTCAGCTTCAAATTTAAACCTCTTTTATATGTAGATTCGGAATAACTATGACTTACCTGCCATAAGTTTTGTTCCTTAGGATTATATTTTCAAAAAACACAGCAGCCTGTGGGAGAAATCATTGAGAATGTTTAAAGTTAGGCCGTCTACTTTCCTTCAGGTTCTTTGTACTCAGGAGAGCACTTTAGATTGAAGAGATGTGGGATGACCATCTCAGCGCGACAATACTTTACTGTATTTGTCTATTTTACTTTGAAAACAAAGCTGATTCACTCACCTGACTCGGTAGCCACAGTTTGTCGTTGATGTCACCAAGATCGAAGTTGGAGGTCAGGTACAGGGGTGGGATCTCTTTGGCGAGACCTGGGGGAATGCTCTTTACTGCTTCTACACCGTCACTTGAAGCCTTCAATACCTGAATGGGATTTAAATACAACAGAATTGAACAAAAACACACTCTGCCCTCTGTAAGCAGCTTCTTGATGTATTATTGTCTGCAGTCAGGATTCAACCCAATCTAGAAATACAATCGTCAATAGGAAACAACGTGTGGTTTGGGCTTATACTTCTGATGCTACTGACAGATATTTCATGACCACTCACCTTCACAATGATTACAATCACTATAACTTGTGGTGCGGTTTGAATATTCACAACAAACACGGGGTCTGTGATCACATCGGTGAGTATTTTGGAGTCAATGCTTTGGAATACTCTGCTTTTACATCCAGCTGTCAGGGTTCCAAGATCCAACAGCTTCTGTTTGTTCTCGGCCTATTTCAACAGAGAAAACAAATGGGAAGGTTTTCAGGAGAAATGGGGTGAAAAAAGTTGAGTCAGGAAGTTTATAGAAAGATGCAAACCATTTAATAATAATAATCCTTGCATTTGATTTAGCGCTTTTCACGTCTTCTAAACATCTGAAAGAGCTTCACAGAATATGCTGTAAAGTGAATTGACTGTATATTTGTGGGCGAAACACGGCAGCCAATTGCGCAGAGTAGCGTCCCACAAACAGTCGTGGATTGAAATGACCAATTTAGTATTGTTTTGTTTGTTGGAGGGATTATTATTAGGTGTGTGGAGTAAGGAAACTTGCCCATGGTTTCTCTCTGGCTTTGCCAATTTCCATTGGGGCAGTATTCTAACTGAGGCCTAACCAGTGTTTATATGGGTTAATCATAACCTCCTGACTCTTGTACTCTATACCCCTATTTATAAAGCCTAGTGTCCCATATGCCCTTTTTACAGCTGTATCTACCTGTCCTGCCACCTTCAAGGATTCATTTACCTGCACCCCCAGGTCTCCCTGTTCTTTTACCCCCTTAAGATTGTATTACCAGCCTATATTGCCTCCCCTCATTCTTTCTACCAAAATGCATTAGCTCGCGTTTCTCCACATTGAAATTCATCTGCCATGTGTCGCCCATTTTACCATTCTGTCTATGTCTTCCTGCAGTTGTCTGCTATCCTTCTCACTGTTTACTACCCTATCTAACTTTGTGTTTACCAGCCTACCTAATATTGCCTTATGCCTGTCACTCACACAGTTTGTTTAAACCAGAGATGTGCTCACCTCAAGTTCTCAAAACTACACCCTACATTGGGAAAGGAAATGTTAAGTATATTGCATAAAACCCACACAATCACGATCATGACTTGCCGCACACGTTTTATGCATTTCATTGACTTAGATATCAATACAAGACTTACCTGGTAGCCATTGCTCAACACTTTGTCCACAATCAAAAGCTGTTGTCCATAATTCCAATTCAAAACTTGCCCCAGGCTTGGCAGGGCTTGCTGAAAAGTATTTGCCTTAGTATCTGCAATCTGCGTCACTGATAGACCAACAGCTGATTGTCCCAATTGATTCAGAGTTTCCACTGAGAAGTTGTCAATTTTGCTCACTAAAGTTATGGAGAGCTGGAGAAACAAGAATGGAATAAATCATAAAGCTTCCCTGGACGTAGATTCAAGTGAAGTAGGTTTCAAATTCTCAACAATTACCGTGGACTTCTTAGCCTTTTGCCAAGACTGTCTCCTCAAACATGAGAATCAACAGATTGGGTGACAGGTTTATTCAGGTGTCACCTATTTACCACATTAGCATTTCTGGCTACTGAGGGTCAGCCCAATGGTGCAGCAAGGTGGATTCAAGATGCCCAAAGGTTCTTTGCTATTTACCTTCAGTTGTTCATCTGTCGCAGGTCCTGGAGGCAGCGTTGCATTAATGCTCGGGCTCACCCGACACACTTGGTTTAGCTTTCGGATTAGAGCCAAGACTTGCTGTGCTTTCACGGACTGAAGTGCATTTGTACCAGCAAGTAAGCAAGTCAGAGAATCCGGCAGGCTGGAAAACAGAATGTGCAAACTGCGTCAACTGATGCTGAATGTTCTCCAATGAGACTCTCCCAAAATGGCTCTCCAGTCCAGAGTGACTCCTGGTGACTTGGGTAACAGTAATCACAAACTAAGAATGTGCAATCGTTTGGCATCATTTTCTACTTATTGGCAAACCTAAAGGATAGATATATCCATCTCTACTTGTGAATATCTTCCTCCTAAATGATTATTTTAACAAGAAACTTTTATCTCATACCTTTGTGTGGACAGACACCAAATAGAATGTGTGCCATACCTTGTAATATTAACATTTGGATTCCCTTGATGCAGCAAGTCGATGTAGAGTTTCGAAACTTCAATTGGTAATGTCACGTTTGCCAGCAATGCCAGATTTTCAGGGTCTGCTGCAAATTCCTGAAGCTGAAACAGCAACATTTAAAAGAAATGAGAAACATGTACTCCAAAAAGAATGATGATGATCATTCGTATAATTTGGTGAAATACACTTCCATTTCGTTTTGAATTGCGTGCAGGCAAAATGGAAGCCAAGTTATTGTGGCAACTTCTCATAATCAGCAATATTAATTGTCAAATCAATCTTTTAGGTGAATGTTGAATTCAGGAGCAATATTGGCCAGGCCACAGCCGTTACCGTTATATTTGCCCATCAGAAAAAGGGGAATTCAAAAATTGTTGCCAACGCACAGAGCCAATTTCCATCTCATTTGGTGACTTCCATCCCATTAACTTGAGGTGGATTGAAATACGACACAGAACTCAATGACCCATATAACGATTTACACATTCCTTGACGCAACCACAACAGCTAATAATCTGGTTAACAACAGAATTGTCAAGCGTTGCACCCCCTGAGCCATTGAGAACCCATTCCTCTTCTTAAAATCCTTAGAAGAGTTTCCTGCTGGCTTGATCTTCACAAGTACCTTTGCTTCATTATCAGAGAAAGACCGAAGATCAGTTGCCGTCACTTGGCTCAGGTAGAGTCCGAGGTAGTTAACAAACCAAGCAGTAGAGTTCAGAGCTGGATTACTGGCGTTGTAGCATTTTGGTTTAGGACCCGCTGTGCAGAGTAACAAAAAGTGGGATTACACAAAGGTTTCAATGTCATTGAATGCTTCACAAACACTTTGCGTGTTCACTCAGGTTTTCATCTAAAAATCAATCTTACCAAATATTTCCCATTCCTAGTTTCTTCCACCCAACCCAACCCAACCCAAACCCACCCCCCCAAGCCAAAACCTCTTGCTGGCTTTATCTTTCCAAGTACCAGCAACCTGACCCGCACTAAATGAACAATTATGTGGGCCCAGAGGCAGGAATGGATGCAAAGTTGTTGTGAGCCAGCAGTGAGAGTCACATCGAGGGCAACCCATCCGGCGATATTTTCATTTCCTTACACATGGAAACACAGACCAATCGTAATCTCAACTGCCACTACTTTAACCAAAATCACACAAACGTTTACCTGGTTGGAGGTAAGCTTTGATGCCATTGTAGATTCCTTCTGTTTGGCTGGTTTGAAATCATTGTATCCGGCACTCAGTGTTTTCACACTAAATAAGAAATGGTACAACATTTTAACATTCAATCTCTAGATCAAGAACTTTGTTTTGCTAAATTCAATACAACCAAACGGAAGACAACGAGGTAATGTCACTTGACAAGAGCAGCTGAGCCAAACTCGCTTTACATCTCCACATTCTCAGAGCCCGTTTGTCACAGACGCAGGGGTGGGGGGAGAGGAGAGAGAGGTGACGGTTTGTCAGAGCAACACAGGGAGCAGGAATGAGAGCATTGGAACCTGGGCAGGACATTACATTGCAAAAGGGAGAGAGAGCCACAGAGAGAGAGCGCGAGAGAGAAGCCTGGGCCTTGGGGGAACAGGTCCCACACACACACACACACACACACACAGCATTTACATTTTCCTGTAGGGGAGGCACCGCACTCTCAGGGTGTCTTGAGAAGCCAGGAGGTCTTTGCTGATGAAAGGCAGATACGGTTTCAGCCTGCCATCAAGCCACTGTGTTGCTTCGGCATCACTCAGTTCAGACAAGCGATTGGCAAACAGTGGCCACAGACCCTCCATGATAGCCCCACGGGTCGCGTCTGTCAGGTTCGTCTGGAAAAGTCAGATGACATAAATATTAAAGTGGGAAGCACGGGATGGTCAGATTGCCACATTGGGCATGTCTAGTACGTCAATCCTCCGAGCTTTTCTGAATCATACAGAACAGAAAACCCCATTCCAACCTCAACACTCCTGATTTATTAGTTAGCCAACCCTGGGAAACAATAGAACAATTTGGTGAGGCGTTAAGGCCTCAGATAAGCCATGGGGCCTCAAGCTACTATTCCAGAAGAGACGCTGCATTCTATTCTAAAATATCTATCACTTACATTGTGACTGTTTTGGTTAAATCGATCCACAAATATTCCCAATTTCTGGATGGATTGGTAGCTCAGTAACAACACAGTCAGATTCTGGTTGTCATTGATGAATCCAGGTCTGCTCAGCAAATCAGCCACATCCGTGGGATCAGTCGCATTCAATATCTGGAAGAAAAAGAAGGAATGTTTTTTACTAAAATAACAGCGACACCCACTGAAGCTCTGAAACAGACTGTGTGAAACAATTGAAACTTTCTCGTTCTAACTCTTCTCATTCACATATCTCAGTAGTTTACGAAAGTTACACTGGAAGTTGTTTGCACATTCTCACACCCGGCCCTTATCAAAAGGTAACACCTTGTTTACCTGAGCTGCTCGGTTAATCGGTATCAATGAGACCAAATCCGTCAAGCTCAAATATCGAGAGAAATTTTGGAAGGTGCTGTTCAGATAATAAGCAAAACTGTTGTTTTCATAGCAACGAAGGGGGAATTCTGGAAAGAAAGTGGAAAAGCATTCAGCTCAAGCTTCCATCTTATTCAAAGTTGTCTTCTTTTTGACTTAGATTAGCTGATTTGAGCATTTCAATACAGAGTTGGCAAGGAAACGTTACTCAATGAAATAGCCACTCAAATGACATTAGGTTGAATGATGAGAATTTAATGTAGTCCACAGCATCATTCCTGCTTATTTACAATACAGACCAAAGAGCCACGTTTAATGATTGAAATGATGGTCAATCAATTGGGTTAAATTGCATTGCAAGGTTGTATTGGATGAAATCTCTGCTCGTTACCTGTATTAAAGCGGAGTATATTTGCATAAATGGCTTCTTGAATATCAGGATACAACGGCGGTTTGATTGAGCTCAGCGCAGATACACTATAAAAGGTAAAATTCAAGGCATTACGTACATATGTCACTGATTGAAAAATAATTGTTTATGACAGAAACTGATGCTACCACCAAATTTACTTCTTATGTAGCAGTTAAACAACAGAGCATAGACTGCTCACAAGACTTTAGTTAAAAAGGGACATTTTAGTGTTTTCTGATATATATATATACACACGCGCACACAGCCCAATAGATTAGTGTCAAGCAGCAGTCACATTAACAGCAACATTAGCAATTCATTTATGGTTCTGACGCATCTGCATCAACCGGAAGAGGAGAACACAGAAAACAAGTCATCACACCATCACAATCAACGTTTACTGACATCGGGTGACTATTCAATTCATTTTGGACTTCAACCCACTGAGTACAAAGCGGCTGCACCAAACGTACGTGATCTGGGATCCAATGCAGCTCTGACTGACGAGGACAAAAGGCACCAGCGTTTCAGTAAGTCCCGGCAGCAGGATTGCCAGTCTTGTGCCGAACCAGATGTGCAGCTCACTCTCGGTTGCGTTGGAAAGAATCAACTGAGTGCGGTTCAGAACCTCCTCCAGTAAAGCTGTTCTGACATCAGGCGACAGCCCCACATTGTTCTGTAAAAGTTAGTGGAGTAACAGGATGAACAGAGAGATACGGGCAATGACCGACCCAACAATAAAAACTGTTTTAAAGGGGTAGTGCTCTGATGAGGTGCTTTCATGGGAACCTTGATTCCCGGTATCGAATGGCTCCCAAGTACTGAGGAGATCCAACGTTTCACCGTTAGGAAGCATCAGTGTGATGTTGGGTTTCCGCATGTATCAGACACCCAGCTGAGCCCCAATAAAGAGCATCATTACATTAACATTGTAATTCCATTTGTCCCAAACTCCACTCCAGATTCAGATCAAATGGTTGGGGTTGGGCGGGGGGGGGGGGGGTGCAGACTCAGCTGTGATGCCCTTTACAGTCAATGAGCCTGCTGAAGCACATTGCCAAAGCTCACACACAAACAAATAGCACTTAGGCGAGACACCAGTAGGCAACCAACAGCTGTGGAAGCTCACTCAGCAATAGGAATCAAGCTGAGGAGCAGAGAGGGTCTGGGAGAGGAGGAGAACATTTAGAAAATAATTTAACACACTACATTTTAACTTTAGAAACAAAAATCTGGTACCTGTTTGACAGAGATTGTGAATGTGTTCGTAAAGTCAGTCACTGTGGCACTTGTGATGTTCTTGAAAATCTTCTGCACCTCATAGGCACTTTTCAGGGTTCCTTTACTTCCAGCTAAATCCCCAAGTTGAGATGCCGTCAGCAATTCCGCTGCTTCAACCTATCCAGAAAAACGACATCAAGTGAAGAGTATTCATCTACATCAAGGTCTCGGAAGATCAAAATGACACTTGACATTTACATGAACATTTTTGCAGGAGTCATTGTCATTTCATCCTTTTTATATAGAATCACATAAAACACAGAAACAGCTCATTCAGCCCAAATAATTCGGTGCCAGTGTTTGTACTCCACACAAACCTCCCCATCTTCTAATCCCCTCGCTTCCCTTTTCCCTTGTTCATACATCAAGTTACTTCTTAGTTACATTGATGAAAAAAGGGAAAAAATGCTGATTCCAAAGGCATTTGGCGATTTGCTATGCAATGCAGCTATGACCTAAATAGCAAGGCTTTCAGACACCTTTGAGGTAACCTAAAAAAAACTCTGATCAATTTGGTTTCCTCTGTGCAGTAGTTTGAGTGACTTACACCATCAAAGTTTCGATTTAACTCTGTGAAGTTCTTGTATGTGAAAAGCGACCGGAATCTGCCAAAGTTCTTCACAAGCCATTTTTTGTTTCCTAAGGTATTATTAGCCGTGCACACAGCTCCATTAAAGCCTGTAGATAAACAAAGGTTACATTCACTGTTTCGCAAACAGCTAATCATTGTCCTTTCACCTACATTTAGTACTCAATACATTGTGCTTCATTAGCTATAAATCTTGAGAGCTACTAGGCATGAAATTAAACCCAGTCTCAGCCTGTAGGATAATTTGATTTTAAAATTCACAGCTGTTTGAGGGACATTGCTATGTGCAAATGGCCTGCTGTATTCCTTTACAAATATGCAGTCACTACACTTCACAATAAATCCTGTGAAGTGTTTAAAGGCATGAAATGTGCCATACCAAATGCCAATTTTATTCAAAATTAAAGATTGAATTGTGGAAAATTCTTCAATTCAGAAAATGCTCTTAGAATTTTGAGCTGCATAAAAGTGATGATAATATGACCACAAGACTAAATGTTAATTTTAATCTTACCTGTGTTTTCATATTGGTGGTTTAGATAGTATAAAATAAATACATGGACATGTCCTCGATGCACCCTTGTTAACATTGGATATACACTGTCCATCCCTTTTACTCTATAAAGATAAAATACATGACATTTCAAAACATATTGCAAGGGCAGCGACGGAAACAACAGATGTGTTCTTCTCTGGAGTGCCAGTAAATTGTAATCCTTTATGAAGTGAACCACTTGCGCTTTAGAAGACTCAAAGTCTTTCTGTTAAAACGAGATCAGGAGATTTCATAGTCATGGATTGAGTGACCAATATTCTTTTAAGGGATTATTACCCCTGGAAAAAGGAGAATGTTGGCATATATAAAGGTTCTTTTCTCCCAGTGCCTTGGTACGCCCCCCCCCCACCCGACTTGAAAGGTGCTATACAAATGTAATTTATTGTTGTTGTTTTGAGCAGAATCCACTAGATACATGACAAACAGGGGGGACTGTGTACTCACATGGCTTGAAACGACTGGCATGATATATTAACTGGCACAGTGGCGAGATGGCTGAGTGTGATGCCGGGCAGCAGGAGCTGTAATCTGATCTGGAACCACTTGGCAAACTGCTCAGGACCAAACGAGGCAAAGTGAGGGGTGAGGAGCTTCACCACACTGTCCAGCAGCAGGTCCCTCACCTTCGCGTTGGGAAGGACTTTAATACCCATCTGAACAAGACAAAGCAAAGATGGAAATCCACAATCCGTTAGTTACAATAACTCTGTGAGACAACAATATGGGAACATAGGAAGAGGAGAAGGCCATTCAGTCCCTCAAGCCTGTTCCCCCATTCCATTAGATCATGGCTGATCTATACCTCAACTCCAAATTCAGAGGTGAAAAATACAAACAAAGAAAATGGATGAGTTTCGAGGCATTGCAGTAATACTGGGGTGTGAGCGTGGGATGAGAGTTGCAAAGAAAAATGCAAATCTTCTGAAAGCTAAAGGAGTCCTGTGATATCTTACCACTTGTGCTTCAGCAACAAATTTGCTCATGTATCTTTCCAGCTGACTGAAATTCCTGGTTTGGAGGTTGTCGATGATGTTGATGATGGCGACGTTGTTGGTCAGTGCATCCGAGATCACCGTAAACTCCGCAAGTTGCTCTGGAGTGAAGAGATCCAGGGTATCGTTCTACAGAGACCAAACATTGGGTCAAATAAAATCACGTCGGTGATAAAATCACTGTTCTGCACACTTTCCTGAGAATGCAGGTTTTGAGGGCAGCTCAGATTTAAAATTTAAATTAAAAGAATTGGGTGGTGGGTGGGTCGTAACGGGTGCCTTCAACCTGAAGCAGATCCGTAAGTGCCCCAAAAATGTTAGTGAAGAACTTACTGCAGAAAAGTTTGGGTTCAGAGTGATCAAGTCACGGTATGAAACATGAGCCATGAACCGTAGGAAATTCTTGATGATCCATTCCCGGCTTCCATTTGTGCCAGCAGCACAAGCCACGCCTGTGAAACCTGGTGAAGAAACACAAACCTTCTCATCTGTGCAATTTCACAAATCGATCGCACACAAATGCACAGTCACTCCACTTCACTAAAATGAATAATAATAATTTGGTCACTCAATCCATGACTGTTTGTGGGACATGACTGTTTGTGCCCACAAAATATACAGTCAATTCACATTCTGTGAAGGGCTTTGAGATGTCTCGCAGACGTGATAAGGCGCTGTATCAAATGCAAGAATTATTATTATTATTTTTATTCACAGTAAATCCTGTGCGGCACTTTGGTATGTCTTCCTGACATGAAAGGCGCTAGACCAAACACGAGGATTGTTATTACGATTAAAAAAGGATGGATAAGAAAACTAAAATTATATCAATTCATTGAGCAGTGGTGAAATGGGAGAGAAATGATATTGAGTGCAGTAGATTAAAAGTGCTTCCTCTGTTGTCTAATTTCCCATTTTCTAAGAATATAAGGTTTCATTGACATTAAAATGGCTCACTGGCTGAACCCAGTGTCTCACTAACCTGTACCTGTACATTTGATGTGATTTTTCTAGATTCTAAAGGTACTAGATCATGTAGA